GATCTTTGTGAGTTCTAGGCTAGCCAGGGCTTCATAGAGAGATTCTGACTCAATAATAATAATAACAATAATAATAATAATAATAAAATCACTACTAAGATAAGATTTTTCAGGCAAAATGTAATTAGAGCATGTGTAGCCAATTCACTGTGTCTGAAATTCTACTGGGTGCCCTATGCTACACTTGCTAAACCGGAGCAGAACAACCTTAAGGGGAAATGCCATGATTCTGTGCTTCCAATATCCTGCTGGCAGAGCCAGGCTTGGAGGCACAAGTCTGTAACCCATTACAGGCAGAGGCAGGTGGATCTCTGAGTTTGAGGCCAGTCTGGTCTACAGAGTGAGTTCTAGGACAGCCAGGCAGGTTTGAGAAACCCTGTCTCAAAAACGTTAAAAAAAAATTGTAGAGTGTGAAAAACAAACCACTTTTGGGTGTAGGGAGAGAAAGGATGGAGCTGAGATGTTTCTTGGCCAGGTCTGTGGCCACTCGGCTCTGTCCTTACTGTTGCCTCTGTTGTTAGTGCAGCATGGGAACTTGACTGGCCTAGCAACTGTCTCTCTGGTCTTGGCGAGGCTCGGGGTGCCAAGGACCTCCTAGGAGGAGCTTCCAGCCCTTACTGGCTATATTTCCTTGTACGTTGAAAGTCTGCTTGGTTCTAAGCATGATGAATCATACCTTCTGCCTTTCCCATTCCCATCCTTTGTCCTCAGACCCTGAGAGGGAACACAGGTGCCAAACTGTGGGCCTGTCCTTACCTGCTCTGCAGAAGGCAGCTTCCACACCCTTTCAAAGAAAGGCCTAAGTCATCTCAGGGCCTAAAGGAACTCTCTAGGAGGGTAAATACCCTGTTGTTCTACTGTTGAGAATCTAGAACATCCATAGACGACACTACGAACATTAAAAGAGTTTGGCATGCAGCAGGTGCGCATTAAATGGTGCCTTCAACTTCTTTCCCCACCTAGACCAGAGGAGTTGCCGCATTTGGGGCAGCATTGTGCATTGCTCTTGGGAGAGGCCTTCTTTGTAATGGATAGAGAAGTCGATGGGTACACTGCTCTGTACATCACAAGCTGGGGATACAGGAAGTGACATCGATGCAGGACTTGGAGGTGGTGGCTCTGGGTATCTTGTCCGATGGACTCTGATAGTTTTTCTCTTTGGTCTTGACCTCCTGGTACCTACCTCCGGCAAACCTTTCAACCCTCACAGAATAAATAGGAAAGTGTTGTATATGCCTGTACAGGCCAGAGGATGGTTGTGTCAGATCCCCTGAAGCTGGAGTTTCAGACCATTGTAAGCCAAGATCTAGGTGCTGGGAATTGAACCTTGGTCCTCTGCAAGGGCAACCAGTACGCACTGCTCAGCTAACTCTCCAGTCCCCAAAATTAAAAAAAAAAAAAACAAAACACTTAAGGAAGAAGAGTTGAGATAAGCTGGTTATGGTCTTGCTCTGCAAATATTCGAGGAGTGAATTTTCCGCACCAAAATGGAGAAAGAAGGTAGTTTTCTAGTTTAATCCGGAGCAGAAGTTGTTTGTTGCAATTCTAATTGTATCCACCAGGTGGCACACGAGCACGAAATTGCCTCGGCCATTTTCAAGATTAGAAAGGAGTTTTTATTGTTCTTTTTTAAAATAATAAGATGATGGGATTTCCCAGGCAGCTCGCGGAGCAGCTGCTAGTGGCTGTGGGCTGGATGCGGTGGACGGCAGAGTAAATGGACATAAGGCTATACATAAAGCTAGACATTTATTACTTAAAGAAAGGGAGATATAGACAAACATAGAGAGAACAAAGACACACATACACACACACACACGCACGCATACACACACATACACACACGCACGCATACACACACGCACGCATACACACACACACACACATGCATACACACACACATGCATACACACACACACGCACGCATATACACACACACGCACGCATACACACACACACACACACACACACACACACACACACACACACGAGAGAGAGAGAGAGAGAGAGAGAGAGAGAGAGAGAGAGAAAGAGAGAAAGAGAGAGAGAGAGAGAGAGAGAGAAGATGGCTGCGGGGGAGGTCCAAAGTGGCTGGGGTGGGCGTGGTTAGTTCTTAAAGTGACAGCAGAAGACTAACAGTTTTAATTTTTCTTGTTTAAAAAAACAGCAAATGTGGTGGGGGCGTTCAGATGTATATCGCTTTTGTATTTGTGTTTGGAATTTAGGTGTGTTAAGGAGCATGTTTGCGTGGTTACACGTATGTGCGTATTCCTGATTTTATCCTCCAGACACCATCTTTACTGTGTTTTGAGACAGGATCTCTCACTGGGACATGGTGCTGGCCAACAAGACCATGGGCTTACTGGGCAGAGATCCCCAAGGGTCTGCTTGTGGCTTCCTCCCCAGCATCAGGGATATCAAGCCTGTGTCTTCCTTCATGCAGGGCTTTCTACACATGTTCTAGGGTTCCAAGTCGGGTTCTTACATTTGCTCTGCAAGCACTCGAGACCCACTTAGCCATTTTTCTAGCCTTATTTCTGGAATTTTGGAGACTTTCTCACTATGTAGCCAAGGCGGGCCTCAAATTTGTTGTTGTTGTTAAGATTTCACTGTGTTAAAAAAAAAAAAGGAAAAATAAAAAAGAAAAATTATTTCACTGAGTAACCCTGGCTGTCCGGGCCCTCGCTATGTAGACCAGGCTGACCTCAAATTCACCGAGATCCTTCTGCCTCTGCCTTCCAGTGCTGGGATAAAAGATGTGTGGTGTGTGCCATCACTAGCCTCATATGTATATTTCACATATTATTTAGACGTAGTTCAAACTTGAGGAGGAAAAGATTCATTTCTTCTCATACTTTCAGGTCACACTCCATCACTGAAGGAAGTCAGGGCAGGCAGGAACTGACACAGAGGCCATGAATGAAGAATTACTTGCTTACTTCCCATGGATAGGACTGTTTTCTTTTATACTCTAGGCCCACCTGCCCAGTGAGCCACACAAGAAAATGCCCCTCAGCTGAAGGCTCCTCTTTCCAAATGGCTCTAGCTTGTGTTAAGTTGACCAAAAAAAGCCCAGGACAGTGGGCATTTCGATTTTCCTCCAGTAAACTGATTGCTTTCTTGCTGTTGGATTTTTTTTATTTCTTTGTTTTTGAGAAAGGGTATCTTTCACTATGTAGTCGAAGCTGGCCTGGAACTCAAAAAGATTCCTCTGCCGATGCCTTCTGGGTGATGGATTAAGTTAAGGCCACCAGGTTCTTTTGAATTTTTGGTTGTTTGTTTATGTAGGATAAACATCAGAGCTGTAACACAGTTTTGAGACAGGGTCTCTCTACACAGCCCTGGCTGTCCTGGAACTTGCTTGAACAGGCTGGCCTCGAACTCCCAGAGATCTGCCTGCCTCTGCCTCCCGAGTGCTAGGATTAAAGGCGTGAGCCACCATGTTCGGGTTCTTTTTAAAAGTAAGGTCTTGTGTAGCCCAGGGTGATCTTGAATTCCCTATGTATCTGAGAATTATCTTAAACTTCTATCCTCCTGCCTCTACCTCCTAAATACTGAGCTTACACATGTGTACCACCATGTTGGGCAGTGGAATGTACTTGCTTAGATAGGGCTAGGAGAGAAAACAGAGTTTTCTAGAAAAAAAAGAAAGAAACAGAATCTTAATACATGTGATTCTAAGCTGTCTCCTGCTGCAGACACCAGAAGGTTCTGTGCAGGCACTGATGTATGAAGCTGTCAGGGTCAGGGATGGAACCACAGCTTCTAGGAACTCTGCCTAGCAACCAGGCAGCCTAGAAAGAGTCCCAGCATGCTCTGAGGACTATGGTCCAATCTCTGTCGTCCTCATGAATATGTATGAGTCCCCAGATGTCAGCTGAACCCCCTCCTTCCTGCTCAAATACCACAAAATGCCTTCTCTCTCTCTCTCTCTCTCTCTCTCTCTCTCTGCCTCGTTCTTACCCCCAGTAGCTGGCATTATCTTCAGCTCTCTTCTTTAGAACTGGAAAAATTATGTGCACTTTGCATTTCAGGGCCCGAGGTTACATCCACAGAATGTTCCAGAGCCTGGCACTTCCAATAGGAAACTGGCTTGTAGCAGAGGTTTTGCAACTATGTCCCCAGCAATGATGGGTATTCCCATGACTACGAAGAAAAAAAAAAAAACAAAGGCTGAGGCAGGCACTGTAGCACTGCACAGCGTAGCTTGTGACCTCTAGCAGAGGAAAGGGAGGAGGGAAAAGAGGCTGCACATGCAGCGTGGTGGACAGAGGGTTTGCCTAGAAGAACCCGGTTCAAGCCCCAGGACCATGTAAGGTGTGGTGGCACACACCTGTTCCTCCAGCATTTGTGAGGCAGATGCAGAGGGCTCTCTACAAGCTTAGCCTCAATCTACATCGTGATTGCCAGGTCAGCTAAGGCTATATAGTGAAGCATCGCAGGAGAGATGAGAGAGAGGGAGAGAGAGATATTTAACTTATCCAAATGTTGCCACCACCTGACAGATGAGTGCAAAAAATTGATATGATGAAGTACTCAGTCTGAGCATGGCACCTCACTCTTGGAATCTCAGGGTTTGGAAGGCTGAGGCAGGAAGACTGTCCTGAGTTTGAGACCAGCCTGGGGTACAGATTGAGACCCACAAAAAAAAAAAAAAGCCAGGTGGTGGTGGTGCACAACTTTAATTCCAGCACTCGGGAGGCAGTGGCAGGCGGATCTCTGTGAGTCTGGTCTACAGAGCTAGTTCCAGGACAGGCTCCAAAAGCTACAGAGAAACCATGTCTCAAAAAAAAAAATCAAACAAAACCACAAAGAGCCAGTAAAGAGGTCTCTAGTTTTTCTTTTTCTTTTTGAAATGAAGAGTAAAGGCATGTATGCATCACACATACATTCACACACACACACCACACACATTCATACACATGCTCACACACACAAACATTTATACACACAAACACTCACAAGTAATAAATCAAATACATACAATCACACAGACACACAAACATATTTATGCAATACTCACACACACTTACACACAAGAAATAATAAATCAAATAAATCCAGCCACAGAGCTGGGCTGATTTTATGCTTCTTTTAGCAAGAAATGCCCAGGCAAGGCCAGGGGAACAAGTTAAAGGCGATAAAGGGTGAAGGAGGCAGTGCTGTTTCTTTGGGGGCCAGGAATGGTTTGACCACGTTTCTCTTTGTAGCCCTGGCTGTCCTGGAACTTGCTCTGTAGACCAGGCTGAACTTGAACTTACAGAGATCTGCCTGTCTCTGCCTCCCAAGCACTGGGAATAAAGGTGTGCACCACCACACCCTGCCCCAGCTAATACATTTCTTAAAAAACGTTTTCAAGTATGGCACACTAGAAATGGGTGAAATTATATGGCATGAATATGGCTCAATGGAGCAGTTAGGTAATTTTAGCATTGGGCAATACACTAAAGATTTATGTACTGTAGGGTCTAGCAAGATGGCTCACTGGATAAATGGGCTTGCCAGAGGACCCAATGACCTGGGTCTGACCCCTGGATCCCACTTGGTGGAGGGAGAAAAGAAGCTCCTGCAGCTGTCTTCTGGCCTCCAGACATACCAGGGCTTGTGCCTGCCAAGTAAATAAATACATGTAATAAAATGTTTATGAACTTTATTGTGTGCAATTATACTCCAATAAAATGGGAAATAACTCAAAGCTACTCCTACCTTTGTCCCAGGAGTGTTGGAGAAGGTGGGTGGAAGAAGAGAAGGTGTTGCCAGGGATCTATAGAGTCACTCCCTGCTCCAGAATACAAAGTGAGATGGCTCTGAGGGTACAGGTGCTTGCTGCCAAGCCTGGTGACCAGGGTTCAATCCTGGGGTCCCCAAGGGTGGAAGGAGAGAACTGATTAATGAAAGATGTCCTCTGACCTCCACATTCATGCCCAAGCATCATCCTCCTGACAACACCAGCACTAATGAGTAAAACACATTTTATTTTTTAAATTTTTTAAATCATGTGCATATTTGTCTGTGTGAGGGTGTTGGATTCCCTGGACGTGGAGTTACAAGCAGTTGTGAGCTGCTATGTAGATGTGGGAAATTGAACTCAGATCCTCTGGAAGGCAGTCAGTGCTCTTAACCACTGAACCATCTCTCCACTCCCTAAAATACATTTGAAAAAGGAATTCAGTAACAAATTTGGAACCTGGCGTGGTGGTACATGTCTTTAACCCCAGCATTTAGGCAGAACATTGTGGGATTGGGACCAGCCTGGTCTATACAGGGAGTTTCAGGATAGCTAGGGTTACACAGTAAGATCCAGGCTCAAAAGATAACAAATTTGTAGCCAGGTGGTGGTGGTGCACACCTTTTACCTAGCACTTAGGAGGCAAAGGAAGGTGGATTTCTGAGTTCGAGGCCAGCCTGGTCTACATAATGAGTTCCAGGACAGCCAGGACTGTTTCACAGACAAGTTCTGTCCCGAAAAACTAAAACCCAACCCAACCCAAACCAAACAATAAATAAATAAATTTGGTGCTTGTCAGCGACAAATAGGGTAACTTTTAATATCTATCACTAAGCAGCAAAAACAAAACTACCAATTTGAAGAAACTAGAGTTAAATAAATCCCGTGAGCACCTGGCTATAACTTAGCAAGTATAGAGACTCTTCCGAAGTGAGTCCCAGTCCAAGCTGGGCATCTGGCCAGGGGTCTGAGAATTTCAGCAGCTGCTGGGAAGTCAGAGGGAGAAAGTGAAGGGGCAGGCAGCAAGGACCAGGTGCCTAAGCTTCCTGTCAAGGAAAGCTGGAGACTGGAGCTGAGGTGGGGGTTGGGGGTTGGGGGTAAAAGTAGTGACAGCCTTGGCTAGGGTGGGGCTCCCTCTCTCAACCTGTCAGAGCCTTGAGCCCAACTGGGCTGAGAATGGCAGCGCACCACCTCCCCTGGGGCTTTATCCTCTTTCCACACAGTCAGTACTGAAGCTGGCAGAGCCCAGACAGACTATGGCATTCAGATTCAGATAATTTGCCACACATATGGAGACAGAGGGTTATCCACGCCCAAACATTATTAATTTGAAATGCTTTTAGTAGCAGACGTTTCCTTATGACATTTTCACACAAGCTACCCTCACTTACCCTCTGTGGTAACCCCCCTTCTACTGATCTTTTTTCTTTTCTCCATTAGCCCCCTTCTCCATTCATGTCTTTGTTTTAGGCAGAGTCTCTCTATGTAGCCCTGGCTGTCCTGGAATTCCCTGAGATCTATCTGCCTCTGCCTCCTGAGTTCTAGGAACAAGGTGGGTGTCTCCGTGCTGGACTGTTTACTTTTTTGGACAGAGGGTCTCACCATGTAGATCAGGCTAGCCTAGAACTACAGAGATCTTCCTGCCTCAGTCTCCGAAGTGCTGGAATTAAATGTGTTCACTGTCACAGTGAGCCCCATACTTTCATTTTTAACAAAGGCAAACGTTTAAGCTGACCCTGAGGTGGTCAGTCAGCCTTCCCACATCACTTCTGACCTTCCCTTGGAAACTCTGAATCCGAGGGAGCCTGACTCACCTTCCCAGTGAGGACAGTGATTGTTTCCAGGAGACAGGACTGCAATTCTCTTGTTTATTTCTTCTGAATGTATTTATATCTCGTTGGGAACATGTGGGGCATCTGGAACTTTCCTCCACTCCCAATGGGAATGTTAAATGGTGCCGTCACTTTCAGAAACAGTTTGTCAGTTAAAAACAAAAAACAGAAACATGGGTAACCACAGCAGCAGAGCCAACAGCAAAGCCACAGTTCTAATTTCAAATATTTGAGAGAAATAAAAACATATGGCAATCAGCAGGCTGAGGTAGCACAAGCCTGCAAACCCAGCACTTGGGAGATGGAGGCAGGAGGATACTGAGTGAGGTCATCCTTGGAGCATAGGCAGTTGAGGCCAGAGTGCTGGGATTAAAGGTGTCTCTGTGTTTTGCTTTTTCTCTTTAACATTTTAAAAATATTTTGCTTTTCTCTGTGTGTGTCGGTCTGTCTTTCTGTCTGCCTGCAGAGGACCAAATCATTGGATATGCTGGAGCTGGACATAAAGGAGGCTGTGAACCACCTGTTGTGGTTGCTGAGCTGAGCTCCGTACTTGGGTCCTCTGTCAGAGCAGCAAGCGCTCTTAACCACGGAGCCATTCTCCCTCCACACAGCTCAAGTATGCTCTTTGCAGTTTACACGCCAGGTCAGACTTCGAATTTTCACCTCTGTATCCATGACGTATGAGATGCTCAGGTAAAGTTTTCCACCAAGGCCTGAAGAGCTTTGGCTGTCGCATCCGAGTCTCCAGCGCCTCCAAGAGGTCGGGCACGAGGAAGCGTTAATGACGAGCGGGTGGCAAATGGGTATTAACGGCCCATGAGAAGGCACAAACGCCACCCACAGTCTTACGGGGCACATCGGGAATGTTGGCCCAGTATTACTCAATCAGTGCCTGAGTCCACAGAGGCCTCCGCTTTCTGAAGTGAGAAGGTCGGGGAACGTACAGACCACGCCTCCTGGTCTCCGTGAGCCAATGGGGGTGAGGAGGTGGGCCAGAGGGAGCGGCAGCGCTGCCGCCCAATGGGCGTCCGGCATTGCCCAGCGGCCGTCCAATAGGCGTGCCCCTCGGTGACGGTGGGAAGCAGCCCGGTGGCTGGGCCGTTGTTGGCGCGGGGAGGCCGAGGCGTCTGTGGCGGCGGCGTTCCGCTGGGATCCGAGGTGAACGTGGGCGGCGGGGTGGGGCGGGGCGGGTGGCAGCGGCGGAGGCCGAGGCTCGCGGCGGGAGGCGGAGGTCGGGCCGGCTCCAACCGCTCCGACCTGCGGAGAGCAGAACGGCTGTTCCCCGAGGCGCGGTCGTGGTGTGTGGCCGGGCCTTGCCTCCGCCTCCCCGGGCCTCCCGCCCGCAGAGCCTTCCCTGCCGTCTCTAGAGGTCTGTCCGCCCCGCAGCCCGCTTTGTCTGCGAGTTTTCCCTTCGACACTCACCTTAAGTTATCTAGTTTCATTTGCTTGTTTTCTGGACTCTGCGACATTGGACTCTTTAATTCGTTAATAGTCTCAGTTGCCAGGCCACCGAGAACGGCAGGTGGCTTGAAAATGCCCAGATCAGCCTGGCGCCCTGTTAGCAGTCAGTATCTAAATCTATTTCTGTGTCATGGGAAGGAGTGATGTAAACATTGACACTGCAGTTGACAGCGCTTCGCCCTCTGTACGGAAAGCGAGAGAAAGGACTTTGCCTGGCGTGCCCGGGTGGGAGGGCCTCAAACTTGACAGAAAAACCATGGTAGGCCCCATCTCAGTTAAGTAGACAGCTTCACTAGTCATCCTGTTCCTTTTGATGTGATGTACCAACATGAATGTGTTCTCTGCTGCCTTTTTTTTCCCGGTTGTGTTTTCTATGAAATAGGGTCTAATGCATCCCAGGTTGACTTTGAACTTACTAACTTACTATGTTGCCAAGAAGGTTTTGAACTTCTGATTCTTCTGCCTCCATATCCTTAGTGGTAATATTACAGGCATGTACCATCATGCCCAGTTTTATGGCTGGTCAGGGAACACAGGGCCCTTCCTGTACCACCTGAGCCCCAGCTGAAGCTCATCACATCAATGATACTCCTGCCAAAAGTGTATAGCATGAATTTAGTCCCAAGAAAACATCAGACAAACCCAGATTGAAGGATTTTCTACAAAATAACTAGCCAGTAGCTAGAAACCACTCTTAACTGCTAGTGACTAGCAAGCTGTGATTCAGGTACTAATTAGCTGAATAAGCAATGAGAGAAAAAAAACTAGAGGGCTTTCAAATCAGAGTGAGGAACAACATCTAAGTGCTTTATGTGTTTCAGGGCTGAACCAGAAAAGGAGATTGGTGGTCTCACTGATATTTGAATAAAGTCTATAGATTAGTTACAGTTATTTTTAAAATTAAAATTAGGACTTCAGAATGTTAACTTTTACTGCAATTGGGTGAAGGCCATAAGAGAGTTCTTTGTATTATAAACTTTTTTTTTGCAACATTTGTAAGTCTCATTTTTTTTTAAATTGGAAATTTAAAAACCAGTGGAAAGGAATGCCCCGAGTGTTTATTCTTTTGCATGTCATCCCTGAAGCAGAAATGAAACAGAAAGTGACATCTCTTCCTTTGCATTTTTCAGGAAGAGCTAAGATGGCTGAGTTTCCAGATGACCAGACTGCTCGGCTGTGTGACAACTGGTAAGACATGGAGTTGGACATTAGGCCATGCTAGTTCTGTAAAAACTTGGGTGTTTTATTTGTAGGTTGTGACTAGGGGTGTGTGACCGTAAACTGTCAAGTCATTGGAATTAGAGCCTTTTAATCATTTGGGAAAATTGCCTGTTTAGAAGTTGGTAGGAAGGTTTCCTGGGTAGAATAAAGATTAGAATGGATCAAGCTGGGGCTTGGGACTTTGTCCTGCCTTTAATGGATGATTTAGCAAGAAAAGACTAGGGCTGGAGAGATGGCTAAGTGGTTAGAGCACTGTTTGCTCTTCCAGAGGACTTGGGTTTGGTTTCCAGAGCCCAGTGGTGGCTCACAACCATCTGAAACTCCACTCACAGAAGATCCAATGGCTCTGACCTCTCTGGACACCAGGCACACATGTGTACAGACATGCAGGCAGGCAAAATACCCATACATAGAATAAAATAAATAAAACTTTAAAAAAAGATACTGGAGATGGGTGGGGTGGCACATGCCTCCAGTACTCTGGAGGCAGGGGCAGGAAAATCTTTGTGAGTTCGAGGCCTGTAGTAAAGAGGAGCAGCGGGCTGTGTTCCCTGCGCCCGGCTGCTCAGCTAGTTTACTTCTGAAATAATTACACAGAAACTGTATTCATTTAAACACTGCCTGGACCATTAGTTCTAACCTCTTATTGGCTAACTCTCACATATTAGTTTAACCCATCTCCATTAATGTGTATTGTCACTTAACTGTGGCTTACCAGCATGAGTCTAACCAGCATCCATCTCGGAGAGGATGGCGTCTGCCATACTGCCTTCTTCCTCCCAGAATTCTGTTCTGTCTACCACGCCCATCTAAGGGCTGCCCTATTAAAAGGCCAAGGCAATCTCTTTATTTAACCAATGAAAGTAACACATAGACAGAAGATCCTCCTACACCAGAGGCCAGCCTGGTCTACCATGTGCTATATAGGGAGACCCTTCTCCAAAAAACAAAACAAAACAAAAAAACAACAATAAAAATCCTTACCCACTCTTCACCTTTTTTGGAGGTGGTGGTAGGAATTGTAGGCAGTCTTGAGTGTGGTAGGCAGGCTCTGTTACTGAGCTACCTTCCGTCCCTGCAGTCTTTATTCACATATAAGAAGTAAACTTAATTTTTTTTTTTATGTTTACAAAAGTAGATATTTTGTTTCTATTTATTTTGAGATAGTCTCACTGGCTGGCCTGGAACTCTTTGCAGAACAGATGACACTGAACTCAGAGATCCACCTGCCTCTCCCAGTGTGAAAGGAACGAGTTCCCCGAGTGGTCCCAGGGTTGTCTTCAGGTGCTTGGGACAGTCTTTGTGAACTGGCTCTATGTGTAGTGATAGAAAAGTTAGCTAAGCAGCTCAGATAAACTTTTCCTTTTCTTTCAGTTGTGGGATGTTTGGAGGCAGGGTCTTGGTATTTAGCCCAGGCTGGCCTGGTATTGGATATGTAACCTCCAGAGCTCTGGGATGACAAGTATGAGTTACACGCTGGGCTTTTCTTTTTGAGATGGTTCATGTAGCTCAGGGTAGTTTCAAAGACAGTGAATAGTCAAAAATGACCTAAATCACAGACCTTCAATCTTTACTTTCCAAGCACTGGCTCTGGAGGTGTGAACTCCCTACTGTTTGTAGCTACAGCATGAACTCATCCAGTACTGGGAGCAGACTCAGGGCTTCTCAGGAAGCAGCACACCCGAGGACTGGGATTAAAGGATAAGCCACCATGCCTCTTCACCACCACCTCCTTTTTTGCCCCCTTTGAGTGCAGGGGATTAAACCTGGGGCATGTGCTAGCATGGTGACAGGAAACCAATTCCTAAGGCAGCCATGTTTAATTGTTACCGTGTCATGGTTGGAAGACTGCTAGTGAGGTCTGCGCAATACAGTCTTGAATGCTAATTTAGGATTTTCATGTTTTAATCCAAGTGTTGAAAGAGAAACCTAAAAAAAAAAAAAACCCTAGATTTGCTGGGTGGTGGTGATGCATGGCTTTAATTCCAGCACTTGGGAGACAGAGGCAGGTGGATCTCTGAGTTCAAAGTCAGCCTGGTCTACAGAGTGAGTTCCAGGACAGTCAAGACTGTTACACAGTAAAACCTTGTCTCACCTTCTACCCCCCAAAAGACAATTTGCAGTGTCAAGCCAAATGGTGGCAGCGCACATCTTTATCCCAGCACTTGAGAGGCAAAGGCAGGTGGATCTCTGAGTTTGAGGCCAGCCTAGTCTACAGAGTGAGTTCTAGGACAGTCAAGGTTACACAGAGAAACACTGTCTTGAAAAATCAATCAACAACAACAACAACAAAACAAAAACCCCAATCAACCAAACAAAGCCCCCAAACCATATATTTTGTATGTGGGTATGAGTGTATATGAGTGCTACTGCTTACTGTGGTTCAGAGGACATCTTGCCGGACTCGGTTCTTGATTTCCATCATGCGGTGCCTTTGCCTGTTGGAATGAGAACTACGCAGAGAGGTGAGAGTAGCTGCTTTCTTGTGTGGCTTTCTCAAGAAATTTCCTTCTTCCTTTGAGATAAGGTTTGTTTTGTTGTGTGGCCCCAGACTAGCTTTGTTTGACTTTGGTTTGTAGCCTACTCTAGTCCCAACTCCTGATCTTCTCGCCTTAACTCCTGAGTGCTGGGTTATGGGCATGCATCACTGCTCCTGATTCCATTAATATACACACTTAAGATTTGTTTACGTGTGTGAGTGGTTTGTCTGCATATATGTATGTACACCATGTGTGTGCCGCATGCCTATGGTGAACAGAAGAGGGCGCTGGGTCCCCTGCGGCTAGAGTTATGGGTGGTAGTGAGCCACCCTGTAGTTCTGGGAACTGACTCCAGATTGTCTGTAAGAGCAGTGAGTGTCCTTATCCTCCAAGCCATCTTCCCACACTTTGCACCAATAGTTGTACTGAAAACTAATGAAGAAAGAACTTTTTATTCTTTTTGTGTACTTGTGTAGTGGGCGTCTTGCCCCAAATCTGACTGCCTCTGCCATGACACCTGGCTTTTACATGTGTCTGGGAATCTAAACTCAGGTGTGCTGGCACAGCAAGCATTTTATCCACTGAGTGGAACTGCAGTGTGGTGTGCCTGTTCACTTATCACATGGCGGTGGAGAGAGGTGCTGGTAGAGAAAAGACTGCTCTGCTCTGCTGCTGGCCCTGCCCTCATGGGTGAAGGGTGCATTTTAGAGAGTGGCTTTCTACACGTGTTCCCTGTTTGCCACTTTAGACTCTCCAAGCATCATTTGCATGTCTGTGTAAGTCAGTGGCTTTGTCATCTTTGACATGAATAAAATAAGAAAATGTGACTTGAGAAGGAAAATGACATTTGGCTGAGACATCTTGATTTTCAGTCTGTTCTAATTTGAAGGAGTCCTAAGGCCTGGGACAGTGTATAAATAACTGTGCTAAGGGAGTTCAAACAGCACAAGGGAGAAGCTAGTGAAAACAAGGTTACCCAGAGCAGAGCAACTTAAAGATGAAAAGCGGCTTAGCACGACAGACTGACCTAGTCCACACCTGCTGACCAGCCTGAGGAACTGTTTACATTGCAGCTTTTGAAAGCTGTAGAGATGGCTCAGTGGTTAGAGCATGTACCACTCCAGCAGAGGACCTGAGTTCAGTTCCTGACATTGACATCTTGTGGTTTACAATCACCTATAACTCCAGGGACTCAGATGCCTCTGTCCACATGGACACCTGCCCTCATGTGCACATACCATACATACACACATATCAAAAATAATGAAGCTAAATCTCTTTTTAAAAGTTGCTTTTCAAATGCAAAGCTGGGTGTGGTGGCGAATGCCTTTAATTCCAGCACTCCAGGGGCAGAGGTCAGAGGATCTCTGAGTTTGAGCCCAGCATGATCTACAGAGCTAGTTCCAGGACAGCCAGGACTGTTAGACAGAGAAACCCTATTTTGAAAAACAAACCAAAAAACCAAACAAACAAACAAACAAAAAAAGGTTGATTTTGGTTTTAGGCTGGGTAGGTGGTTCAAAGTGCTCTTTTTTTTGTTTGTTTGTTTGTTTGTTTGTTTTTGAGACAGGGTTTCTCTGTAGCTTTGGGACCTGTCTTGGCACTAGCTTTTGTAGACCAGGCTGGCCTTGAAGTCATGGAGATCCGCCTGCCTCTGCCTCTCTGAGTGCTGGGATTAAAGGCATGCATGCACAACCACAACCCAGTGATTA